CTACACCACGTGAGGTCCCTCCTAACACCATCTGGGAGGGAGTTACTACACTACGTGAAGGCTTTTGCTAAACCACCAATGTATGTAATAAGTCATTTATGTCCAATGTATATTTTCTGCCTTCGGGCTGCAGAACTTTTTCAATAAACCGTTAATTATTATTAGTATTATTATTATTACACACACACGACTCAAAAAAGATCAGGAACGCTATACGTGTGTTGTTCCCGACTCCAGACACCATTTCACTCCCACAATAACAAAGTTCCCTCGGTGTTGTGGATGTGATGGACAGGTAGGCAATTATTACCTACCCAGCCCCTCCTCCCCCCCTCACCTGGATGCTTTCCCTCGCTACTCATACTACCCACACCTTCCCCTACCTCGCCACCCACACCTCCCCCTACCTCGCCACCCACACCTCCTCCACCTCGCCACCCACACCTTTCCGCCCCCCACTTTCCCGGGGATATTTCTGATCGTTTCATGGCTTATTAAAAGGATTCTGTTCATGAACTATTGTGCTGGGAAGAATCTTTTATTCATAATGATTCTGTTGGTATAAATATAGTACCATCATTATTGTCATCATCATCATCATCATCATCATCATCATCATCATCGTTATTATTGCTTTTTTAAACTGTCACCATTACTGCTTCTATAATGATCACTGTTTTATCTACTGTCAACCTTATCATAATTATACTGTCATTATTGTTAACTTATTACTGTCATTATCATTATCTCTACACTAGGCAGTTAACACGCCCTGGTGTCATTGTTTTTTGCACCGACAATAATTCTTGTGGTGACGTCATGCTTAGTTGTGTCCCGTTAACAGAGTATTACACCACCCCTCCTAGGAGAATCGTGTCCCGTTAACAGAGTATTACATCACCCCTCCTAGGAGAATCGTGTCCCGTTAACAGAGTATTGCATCACCCCTCCTAGGAGAATCGTGTCCCGTTAACAGAGTATTACATCACCCCTCCTAGGAGAATCGTGTCCCGTTAACAGAGTATTACATCACCCCTCCTAGGAGAATCGTGTCCCGTTAACAGAGTATTACATCACCCCTCCTAGGAGAATCGTGTCCCGTTAACAGAGTATTACATCACCCCTCCTAGGAGAATCGTGTCCCGTTAACGAGTATTGCATCACCCCTCCTGGGAGAATCGTGTCCCGTTAACAGAGTATTACAGCATCACCCCTCCTAGGAGAATCGTGTCCCGTTAACAGAGTATTACATCACCCCTCCTAGGAGAATCGTGTCCCGTTAACAGAGTATTACATCACCCCTCCTAGGAGAATCGTGTCCCGTTAACAGAGTATTACATCACCCCTCCTAGGAGAATCGTGTCCCGTTAACAGAGTATTACATCACCCCTCCTAGGAGAATCGTGTCCCGTTAACAGAGTATTACATCACCCCTCCTAGGAGAATCGTGTCCCGTTAGCACCACACCACCTAAGGGCAGCAACACCCGCTACCTGAGTTACAATCATTTGCTGATAAACGTGATCGACTACAAGTGGCACCTCCAGCGGCGGTCATTATTATTATTAACCGAGCTTAGGTCACAATGTAAACACGGCGCACACACGCACACACACCAGCCTGGTTATTTAAAACACTCCGGCTGTTAAGAGCTGATCAAGAAACACAAGGATTCAATAGAAGGTAGATAACAAACAGGTGACTATAGCATAAGGTGAGATAAACTACTTAATCCTATAGGTGGATCATCTGAAGATTAGTTCCATCAGTTTATTTCACCTTAAGATTAACCAACCTACAGCTAACCTTAACATAATCTAAAGTATTCTAACTTAATCTCACACAACCACCACCAAGTTGCTTTGGGGTGTTAGTCTTCAGGTGATCTCTATGGTCGGTCGGTTAGATGCTGTCTCACGCTGAGGTAGTATCACCACCACCAGCCATGATGACGTGTGTCCGTGTGTAGTCTCGTCACGTCTCTGTGGACACCATCAATAGACGCTTCCCCGGTACTGAAGAGCCAACAGTCACACGCGTGATGTACCCTGACCTCTGCCACCTCTTATACAATGATTCTGACAGGTGACAAATGATTACCAGTACCGAGGTCAGTCTTTAATCACCAGGTTCACCTCACACAACAACGTCACCAGTCTCAAGGGTGAGTGCTGGGAGGTCTTGGTCAACAATCGCAAGTTTGTCACCCAAGAATGTCAACAGTCTCACTAGGCATCAGGTGGAAGGTGATCCAACAGAAGGACAGGCTTTGTGGCGTCTTCTTGACTGTCTACTGAGTTTCAGCATCCTGGACCAACGACAACCTCCAGTAACACCTGTCATGACTGCTAACGATTTCTAGTCAACTGAAACAACGTGCAAGAAGACAAGTCCTAAGTGAAGCCTACGTGGCCACCTCACTGTTATTTTGTATTACACTTTATTATGCCAGTTGCTAACTAAAGGTGTACAGTGGTCATTACATCCACCTTATCCTTATCTAACCTCTGTACTTAACATTAACCAAACCTTACCTAATTCAGCCTAACTACACCAAACGCTTGTATACAAATAGCCAATTACTTTAAGATCCATGTGACAACAACAAATGAACAAGATCAGGCATGTTAAAAATTTTCCTCATTAACCGAGGAGGGTGAAGTGCAAGAGGGAGAGGGGGGGTGAAGTGCAAGAGGGAGAGGGTGAAGTGCAAGAGGGAGAGGGGGGTCATTTGATTCCCAGAACCAAGACGCTCAATGATTCCTATCTTTAGACTTCCCCTTACTGAAGACGCGAACATTGCGGTGAGATTCTTAGGTAACTGTGTACGTCATCACATTCACATGAGTGATGATTACGAGTATTATTTCTGGGAACTTTAAGAGTACGAGTACAGAGATAAGCTTCAGGGACTAGATTCCCATATACTATAACCTTAACATCAAGTTTTCCTTGTAGCTGGGCACGAAATAACGTATCTAAAGGTTGTTTTATAAAGTCCATTTGGTGTTTGCATTGAAAGTCTTGAGGAAGTTACAGTGGTATTTACTACGTATTCTGCACATATCTCTGCGTTCTTCACTAAATCCGTTGTGACTGAGACTTCCAGGTGGACTTGTAAGAACACACCGTGGACGTCTATGATATGTTCTTTACAACTCCACCTGCAGGGGGAAGACTGTCACATACATACAAGTGTCACTTCCTGCAGGATATGTGTAAACATGAACACTATCATGATGCTGGAAGCTTTGTGTAATTTTTAAGCTAAATTTGGCCACCTCCGTGTGGGTGGTAACTGAAGAGTGTTTAAGACTGTGTACAGGACCACAGTGGGCGGTGGCCACACGTGACAGCCTCATGTGTGGTGTTGTGGTGACCGTTCACTCCCTGCTGTTGTAAGGCGCCGAGTATTACAGTACAATTATGGTAGCGTCTCATTAGCCTTCAAACAGTAAAAACAGTCGCCGTCCAGCCACACCACCCATCACCACACACCCGCCACATGCTGCCTAAGGACACACTCAACGCTCCATTATTTACATTAACATTACTTAAACTAAAAGGGTGCCTACTCATCTAGTGAAATAAACTGGGGTACCTAATCTTCAGGTGATCTCAAGGCGGTGCTATATGTCATCTGACACATGTTACCATCAAGTTGTCCACACTGCCAGAAGCAAGAGTCAAGTCACACGTCTCCCTTCACGTTATTGAATTACTGTCAAGCGAGTTGCCCCCTCCCCCTTCTAACCTGCCACGACACTCCTGCCATCGATCAGGATTCGGGCTGTAATACCTGATCTATACACATATTACAAAGTATTGGTGGCATTCATGTACTCCACTTGGTAGATTGGTCAAAATGTAACTCTGCAACCTCGGGAAAGATCTACAAAATTTTCCAAAAAGTTGCAAGTTTTAATAAATCTGGGGATATACAAAGAAATATAAAGGCTAATTAATTCAAGTTTCCTCACTGCTTCATGAACAACAACTTTCAAATACATCTTGTGACCGTCAGATATTTCCTTTCCACCCAAATATTTTTTTTACAACAGTTCTTCAAGTATTTTGAAAACTTAAAATTCCATTTAAATCAAGTTTTCCTGAATATGTATGAGAATCAACTGTTATTTGCATCTTTTGGTCATCAGGGGCCCTGCTTCGTCCCTAATTGAATTTATCAGCATTTTAATATTATTTTTTCTTTTGCAAAATCTAAAAAAAACAAAAAAAACAAAAAAGAAGTCGAAGAAACATCAACAGGTCAAGATCTATGATGATGATTTTGAGAACAATTAGAATACAGTTAGTTGACGTTCGGGCTTGACTATGGGGAGACAGAGGAGTAAAAAATAGAAATATAATTGAGTTACATAAAAAAATAAATACTCCAATTTGGGTGAAAAAATAAATGGAACCAACGTTTGTCATCTTTTTCTATTTTTCTGTCACGATTTTGAAGTTTCGTTTTATCAAGAAGATCTGTTGACTATACCTGCATCATGTGTATCTTGGCTCACAGCGGGACACACACACACACACACACACACACACACACACACACACACACACACACACACACACACACACACACACACACACACACACACACACACACACACACACGAATAAATATATAATCATACTATAAAGGCCTTTAGTATATGTATCACAGGTTGTTTGATTCTTTGTCAAGTTACTGGGAGTCTCAACCATCAATGGGGGAGTCAGTACTTCCCAAATTACCCTGAAATATCCCCACGTGGTCTTTTTTTATTTATTTTTTATTTGTTAATTCAGAAATACACTGTATTCTTTAACGTTTACCCCAAATATATATATATATATATATATATATATATATATATATATATATATATATATATATATATATATATATATATATATATATATATATATATATATATATATATATATATATATATATATATATATATATATATAAACAAATACAGTAGTTAGTTTTGGTTTACCTGCAGCGCGCATGGTGGGTGGGATGATGTTGTAGGAAGTAATGTTGGCGGCTGTGGTGCTGCACGAGGCAGTCTCCGAGGCTCTTAGGGTAAACACCTTGCTGATGTAGCGACGTCCGCGCCACCAGTATTGACAGATCCACTACTATATGAGAGGACACTTTTGATAGGGAGGCACTTGGAAGATGAGGATCTTGTAGGAGTGGAAGGTCTTATAGGAGGCACTAAAGTAGAACGATGGTGTGGCACACGAGGACACTTGGCAGTGGAGAGTTCTGTGCAAGTGGCAGGTTCGGTAGGAGTGGAAACCTTACAAGATGCACTATGGACGCTGTGGTAGTGGAGTAACACAAGGCAACGAAGGTGTTGTGAGAGTGGAAGGCCTCACGGGCACAGGGGGAGGCACTGGGGGTGAGGCAGCACAAGTGGATACAGTTAAAAGTGGAGAATATTAATGAAGAGGAGCAGTAAATGGTTGAATTATGATGAGTGGCGCAGTGAGTGAGGAACTGTGGTGACAAAACAAGTCAAGAGGTGAGGTCAAGTAAGAGAACACGAGAATGAGGACAGAGCTACTGTAAGGGACATTGTTGGGTTCCTAGTCGTCCTGTCGACGTAGGAGAACTGGGGACAAGAGACGAGGAGTCCGAGGCATTGAAGTCCAAAAGACGTCCCAAGACAAAAACAGATGACAAGGTATTCGTTGGGATGTAAAATACCAAACAGCTGATAAAGGTAACAGAATATAGTGGAGTGAGAACCCAACGAGACGCCTCAGATGTCCAGTAGAGGACGCGTGAAGAGCCAAAGAAAGTAGGAACAATACGAGAGCGACGCGTCAACGCCGAGCTATTGTAGTGAAACAACGAGCAGCTACAGCACACCTGCAGCCGGAAGGTTTCACAAGAAAATTTCCAAAGGGATGAAGAAACAACCAACTTTCACACCAGACTAAAACACAACCAAACACTTACTCCAGCACACGGCACTCACCTGGAGGAGGGATGTTACTGACCAGTGTCTGTAAATGGTGACAACAGATGGACCCACAACAGTCAGGTAAAATATGTACACAGAGATGAACTCACAAAAATACCTTTATCAGATTCACAATTATCTAAAACTAGCACAAGTGAAAAGGCGAGAATACACAAGTGTGGTCTCAGAATCCCTCAATGACAAGATCGCGAGAAATTCAATTATAGCTTTGAGAAATTGTATGAGGAAAACAGTAAATATGAATTAAAAGAGGTGGGAAAGACGAAAGATTTCACTCCAGATGGAATGAAGTATCGATCAAGAGGATTGTCCAAGAGCCAGCCATAAGAGGAGCCCGTTGTGCACTGCCAGTTGACACCGACCCACTCAAGAGGGTGGGAGGGAGGGAGGGGTGAAAGTGAAGGTGATGGAGAGAGAGAGAGAGAGAGAGAGAGAGAGAGAGAGAGAGAGGAGTGTGTGTGGAGGGAGGGGCGGGACCGGTCACCAGGCCCCCACTGCAACCTTTTGGGTGCAGCGGGAAGAAACCGCTGAATGTTAAAACTCCCGCAAGTATACAGAGGTAAACACCAGGCAGGTATATTGACAGATCCTCACCACATGGGTATATACTGTAAAGATCACCACACAGGTATATATGTAACTACACACATGAAAAGTATAAATAATTACACATCCACGAATTTAGAGGTATCAACCAGCAAGCATAATG